GGTACAAAAACTTATCGTAATATTGAACTTGAATTATTGGTACAGAAGGTCCTAAGTACGCTGCTATCTTCTCGTCTGCACGTTATCTAGTTTTAAACGTAACCCGGCGACTTTGACAATTAGGTTTCTTGTGAGTCGCGTAAAGTTCACGATAAACAAGTTCGCACGTGAATATATAAGTTCACTGAACCGCTTTTGTGTTTCTTCACTCGTGGTTAAAGGTTAAGCTGTTGGAACTGTTCATTACACGAGGCGAATTAAATCGCTTATCTTTGGGACTGGAAACATTTTGCAATTTTCACGAGTTATGGTTGCACTCGATGTAGACGGTCACGTATCGCATTAAGGGTTGCAACTGCGTGTACCGCGTATCCACCACACGCCCGGTACACTATGTTGCTGACGGCAATTACCTTGGTCGTGTCTATGTGAATTCGATTAACTAGTTTTTTCGTATAGTCGATACGGCAGCGCCGAGTGCACTCACCGAATTGATTAGCAATCTGTGTATAATGGTCGATCAAATTATTATGATCAGATAGGAAACTCGCATAATTTATGTAGTGAAAAAGTCGAAGAATCTTACGATAATATAATACATGTTTAAGTATTGAATACACATTCTGTAAATTGAAAGTAGGAAATTTTTTGGGAATTATTAACACGAGCAATACTGAAGGACTTAGATAAGTACGTGAAAAGCATTTGGGTTTCACAATCAATTCTTGAAATAGAATATTTGAAATCGTTTCTACGTCATAACTCTTAACTGATTACGGGCATTAGGCACGACAGGTGCGAACTATTTAACGATTCGACGCGATACGAGGCCCAGTCTAATAAATCTTAATTAATCGCGGGGTAGACACTATATTGCGTCGATGGACGTACGATTAAAAATATTGGCGACCGGTCAGCGAATAATTTTCCGCGTGTTCGGCTCGTTTCGTTTTATCACGGGGCGAACAAGTGTAACGAGAAACGAGTTTCGCGTCCAGCGACGACCGAAAAAACACGAAAGCACGAATATCGGGACGGGGATCGGTTTCGGACAATCGGCCAGTATTGGCGTGATTTCGCGCCATTAATCTTTTCTCGACAATTAACCGACTGCAGACCTGAACGCACTGCCTGGCTATTAATTACAATCAACGCTATCTCACGCACACCCGGACTGATACATCGTTCCTTTTTTCTTAAATCTCCTTGTCAAAAGGAAAAGCATTGACTTTGTATCGCAGTTCTCATTCGAACGTTGACAAAATTGGATTGAGGTTCCTATAATCCCACTGCTTCTGCACATCGAAGCTTACTTTGTAATTTATTATTGTGTACAATGACAGGTATAAAATATTAATGGTAAAAGCATAAATTTTACCGTGACACATATTCTTTGAAAAGACTCATAAGGCAACATAAAGCTATTGGAAAATTCACAAAGTTCTTAATGGATGAGTAATTTAAATGCAAATGTATTATAAAAAATATTTATGATATTAGGAGCAGTAGATTTAAAAAAAGTACAAAGGAAAATTGTTTATAAAATATCACTGAAATACGGATCACCTGGGTTCTTCCACTGTCCAACAGATGCCGTGAACGTGAAGATTTTTTTCTTAGATCTTTTGAATTCCAAGCTCAAATAAATATATTTAAAAAATGGGATTATATAGGAACTATTTCGGATGCAACGTATAAATAATGATTATCATACAAATTGCACTTGCAAAAAAATAGGAAATTCTACAAAAATTGTTATAATATTTGAAAACTAATTATTATCAAACAAATATAAAGCATCCCTGATAAATATTTTCTGAAAAGATTTCTAAGCAATTTGGTTATTAATTAAAATATACGCAGACAATGAAATGTATTTATTAACATGATATTATAAATAGTTGATCCTATTTAAGATCCCCGTTGTTAAATGGTTATTTAGAATATTTGTCACAGGGCGTGCACGTGATACATAACTGTCGCAGTTGTTATGAATTACAGCTCGTTTCCCGCCGCGACACGGTATCATATATTTGATTTAATGAGGTAACAAGTGCAGAGCGGGACCTTTATGCCAAGAACCCGAACCGGTGATTAATCTTATCCTGATTTCCTACCTGAGCTTCGCCCCGGACGCGTCCTACTTCGTTTAAAGTGACAACTATTTCAAAGTAACATCATCTCCGATCGTTAACTCCGGTTCCGACTGTTCTACTTCCAATGACAGAAAATTAAACTAGTATAAGTTCACGTTTTTACATTTTGTACCGATATATTCTATAAATTAAAAGAATATAGTGCGTTGGTATTAAGAAAGTCTAACTTCTTAGTATTACTTCTGATCATTCTTACGAAGTAGGAGGATTGCTGTGAAGAACGATACGACCGCGTGAAACTTCTAAATTTATGCAGAGACTAAACCAACAATATCGAACCGAGGGTTAGAGATCCCATAAGCATAACGAGACCCAAATCCTCTTTCGCTATTGACTTTTTTATTCCCTCTTGTGCTGTTCCTTCTTTTTGGGGGATTAATCACGCGCGCAGAATCCTGCGGGCTGCCGAAGCCAGCAGCCAATCCGAGTTCGATTGATTCACGGACTCGGCTCGTGCACCGGGAACCAGGAAGGATAAGGTCGTAGAAAGTGTCGGAAGAACGATGGGAGACGAGGAAGGAGAGAGAAGGAAGCAGGATGGGACAAGGGAGTCGAACTTCGCCGCTAATGCACGCTGCGTTGGGTGCAGGGAAGAGATAGAAGGGGAGTCGGGTCCGTTGATTAGCGGATATCTTAATTACTGATTGGCCGCGCGGACTAATTAAATCGTAACTCAATCAAGGACCCCCGTCCGTGTACCTGCTGCGATTTTACGACGGCGCGCAGTGAATCGTTTACATCCAGAGAGCAGTAAAATGTCTTTTTACAAACGTACCCTAATAAAAAATTCCGCGCCAATTGCTAATTGAATATCCCAAATACAAATTGATCCGATGACTTTTTTGACAATAACGTTTGCTAACACTGATTGACACGAGTTTATAAATTTATTGACGTATGAGAATATTATTGGCTCAACAGTAAACAATTTAAAAAGAAATTTTGATTCATAACTTTGCATAATCATCGTTCGTACGGTGGACACTCATTTCTGGCGTTCATTGCCCAAACGATTCTCGTTGCTTTAGAGTTATTCTGTGACGATATTCATATACTTTAGCAACAGCATAAATGACCCGAGCACGTCAGATACTGCACATGGGAGGCTGGGCGAAGGTTTCATCGGCCTCCGGGCCACTTTTCGCTGAATCCTTCTTTTTACTCCTACACGCCGTCTTTTTTCTCTCCGCGGGGACCTCCTCTGCTCATAGTGGACCGGGCCACTGCTCGAACCGGCCGGCCGCGGCCGGGCATTATGTCGGGACGAAATAAAAAGTGCAGTAATTAGTAGTACCTACCGCGGTGTTCCGCAGGTGAACGATGTCCTCGGGGTCCTCCCTCGTTTTGGTCATCCCCCTTTTTCCTCACTGGCAACAATACGAATTTTCTTAGCGTCTAACAAGATTACGTGTATAATTCAATCCTCGTAATAAAAATGTGACTTTATCTACTGCCATCTCTTGTCATTAAACCGCTGCGACGTGTGTTAAATTATGGCTTCAGTCGTCAGAACCGTTGACACCTGTTGTCTAGCCATAATGGCTTCTGAAAGAAAGCAGAAGGACTGCAAAAAGCATCCTAATCCTGATCTAGATTTTGAAAGTCGCACGCAGGCGTCGCGGCGTGAAAGGAATTGCGTCATTAGGTTGATAATCGCGTGGCGCGATATGAATTATGTAGTCGGGCCGCGTCATCGAAATAATACAGAAAAATGGCTTCGCCTGAGAAGAGAGAGAAGCCGGTGCCGCGGAGATGAAGACGTTGTCGTGCTCCCCGTCGTTATTGGTGTGGCTTCCAGCCGCAGGAAACCCTTCGCAGCTCTCTTTTTATTTTCCCCCTCCCTCACTCTTTCTCTCTCGTTGTCGTCGTCGTCGTCGTCGTCGTCGTCGTCGTAACGCACATTCGTTAGCACGGATAATGAATCACCGACGCGACGCGTCCCCGTGCTCCTGTCGCGAGGGGAACGACGAATAATTCGCTGGTGGCGGGTCGTCGCGACGACAACGGGCGAGCCGCGGTTATATTATATCCTCAGCTTTCTTTGGTATATGCGTCGGCCCGGCCCGTTTCGCGTATATGAATCGAGAAACGAAGAGGGATGAGGAATGAGGGAGAAGGTGAAGAACGGAGTCATTAAAAACAGCAGGTACCTGGTTGCCACGCTCGCATCTCTGTTTCACGCGCTTTTTCCATTGGGCCTCGCCTGCCCGGTTACTTCGATGAAATTTCGAGTCTGTAATTGTGGCGATGTATCACCGTCGATTATTTTGTACGCGCCGCGGCGTAGGTAGGTGTACACCGGCGACATCGAGGAACGTCCGCTGAATTCCATGAATAAATTTCTTCTTCTGGTCATCCGTGGTTAAGTAGGAACCGTTGTCGGATTCGTTATTGAACACGGGTTCGTGTACCTTTCCCTCGGGAACGGGGAACGGCTTCATCGTGGATGAGCGGTTTGTTCGACGACGCGACGGGTAGCGTCGACGCGTAGCGTTGACTAATACCGCGACTGACGCAGACAGAGGACTGGTATCGAGAGAGCGCGAATGTTATAATAGATCGCCGTATCGTTGACCATCGCGGCCTCGAAACTGGCGTTCCTTTATGTTTGTAATACCGACCGTTTCATCACCGGCCCGATCGCCGTTGGCCGCCGCGGTTGAACGGTTAACCGCTTCCTACGTCCGGCCAATTAATTACCGTCGGTTCGCATTAATCTCGGCAAATTGGTCGAAATTGTTCCGATTGCCGCGCGATTTATTTTATATTCATTCACGGGGAAAAGAGAAGAGGCTCGATTCGTAAAACAAACACTGTTGCTTATTCATCGCGTCGTTTATTTTACATTCATAATATCATTCACTTTTAATTGAGACAGATCTATTCGAAAGTGTTAAGAATAGATTTCTGGGTCTCATAAATTGCTCGACAAGATGCCTCCGTCAGTTCTTGCTCCTCTGAAGTATACGGATGTCGAAGAAGAGTTTGTATACCATTTCTACCGACTATGCATGGTAGCGACATGTACACGTCTTTTTCCAAACCGTGTCGACAACCCTGCAACAATTTATTAAATCTGTCTACCAAATCTACTCTATTTTGTAATCCACGTAGCTCTACATATTCTTTGCATTGACATTTATAAATTTTTATTAGTAAGCTAGGTTGAAATAATCAAATGCTCCTTGGAATTTAAATGAAGGTGTTAATTAAGTTTTTACCTTCAAATACGTGGATACCGTGATGCAGATACATGTATTTCGCACGATAGCGTCGACCACCTCCGCGGCACAGATACCAGTGCCCCAACAGCGATAACCCTTCCTCGAGATAAGATCGTTGTCGCAATCGATTACTTTCGCATGTAACTCGCCCCAAGATTCGGGGTCTGCCTTAGTGCCGATATCTTTGTTGATGTCTTTCAGTTTTATACCCATCACCGTTACGGCGGACCAGATGGGCACTATATAAAATTTAATACATAATCAAATAAATACTTCTTAATAAATATCGGATCAAAGTATTATTAACAAGTTTTATAGTTTACGTATGAAAAAGTGTAGTTTGTATTATTCTTATTATAGTGAAGAACCGGTTAGATCTTGGAAATGATGTAATTCAGTTTAGAATCTAATATCGTTTTTATCCTTATTACCGGACGTGGGACCGTTCTCGCAGATTATAGAGGCTTGCACGGAGTTCGCCGAAATTCCAAGCTTCTGCGCGATGAAGTACTGAAACCTACAGCTGTCCAAAAACGTCCCGAGTCCCACCACGCGGTGCGGCGGGAAGCCCGAAAGTTTCATCGCTGCATACGAGAGAATGTCCACTGAAACACAACGTGTTTCACGTACTTCGCGTTTGTTTCACTTCATGCACACCACCGGCCATAAGTATTCAAACAGTTAACATTTTTAATCGGATTAAAAAAAAAACATGCACACAATAAATCTATTTATTAATTTACTTTTTATTAATCTATTAATTAAATTCTTTTACTACTTATGGTCGGTCGTTGATTAATTACGAGGTACCAGACGTACCTGGAGCCGTTACTATTAAAAGTATACTGTTCGGTGCGTACTTGCAGACTTTCGGAATAACGTCTCTAAAAATGGTCAAATTCTGCTCCAACAAACTCGTCGGGTCCTCATCAGCCGTAGACCTGTCGCCTACGGTAATCACGCACACGGTCGCGTCTCTAGCCATTGAGTAGTCTATAAAAATGCCAATCGTAACAAATAAGCGAGTAATAAAATGAAGAATTATTGGAAACAGAATGATGAAAGTACTTTCTAAAGTATTAATACTTTCCGTCGACAATTAATCAAACGAAAACACATGTGAGCATTAGGGATTAATTTTCACCTTTGGTACCGACGACCTTCGGGTTGCCGAGGAATGCAGCCGCATGGCTGATGTCTTCCGCCTCCGCTTTCGCCAATTCCTCATTCAGGTCTATGAACACCAGCTCGGACGCGAGCCGCTGCAACAGAGAAACCGAGATTATAAAGAGTAATTAACGGTAACTAGCCGCGGCGCGTCACGTCAGCTCGGAGTTATGCATTACGCACGCGGAATCGTTACGTAATCAAGAGGCCCCAGGAATCGCATTAAGAGTGCAGCGTGGCGATCGATCGCGGCATTCGAACGATCCCTTAATGCGAGGGATCGTTAGGGTCTGATCGCGCCTCCGTTCGAGCCGGGCCGGTTTGCTAGNCTTTTATTTGAATCATTTTTCGCAATTTTGAAAGAAAAAAAAATTTTTCGTCAGCGTCAATACTTAATTGGATATTTCCTTCTATACTTTTTAGCACGTAACTATTTATTATTAGCATTATTCTTCCGACGTCTGATTTCTTTTTAATTATAGGAAATGCGTTTTTCTAAGGTACATAAACTTTTGGGATTGACTGTATAGCCAATACATCCTCAAATATCTCAAAGGGACTTGTATTATACTTGATTTTTCATTCAGTCGATCCTATTGCCTAACGTAGGACAGGATTATTAGAGACGTGAAAAGAATAGGATGAAGTAATTGATCGAGCATCACGAGCGTATCCCGGGCGATTACGTATTTGTCAAAATCTCGTTGCCGTCTGATATAATTAATGCGGCTCTATCACTTAACGTCTACGATTTCGTGCGGCGTGAATTTTTTCCGCGACACCCGGGGCATCAATCGTCGCGTTTTTTAACGCGGCAATTTCTCTTAATCACGGTCTAATTCGTGTTCGGTTGAATAATAGGCTACCGTCGCGTGGGACACACGAGCGTGCAGCCACGTTTTCGTAACGAATAGAGAAGCGTGCACGCGCTCGTTCGTTCGTTCCACGCTGCAGATGGACACATTTTTCTCTGACATATGGTGCTTTCACACGTTGAGACAAACCTACCGAGCGGAAAGCGGCTTCTTAATATATTACGTTACGCCCTTGTGCTTCCAATCTGTTATTGTATACCGCTTAATCACCATACTTCATTAAGCAGGACTTCCGCAACATGCATAATATCGCAGCTGATGAAGTTTCCTCAGTCAGCTCTCCCCTACTCTCGTCTCTCCATTTTTTTTCTGTCTTAACCCCCTCGTGTAATACCCACACGTATCGCGCGACGATATTGAGTGGTAATTAACTCACAAAAAAGCCTCCTCCTCCGCTCTCTGTATACTTTGTAACGAGATTTTTAATGACGCATGACCACCGTGGATAAGACAGAGAGGGTTTCCCGAGCGCATTAGTAATTTCGGTGCGAGCCAGACATGGTCGTTGAATTAGAATTCAAAATAATCTCTAAGCGTCTTACGATTAGTAAAGAACCCTAATTACATAGCATGTTAAGTTATAATGGAAAAGATTTATAAAGTCGGTTTACGACAGTAGTAACAACAAATATTTGCATTTGTATAGAAAAATATTTATGCAGTAAAATTGTGTAATGATATGAACTATTTTTGTACTATTTACATCTATTTGCTCTAATTCAGTGGCCAAGCACTGTAATTTGCATGCGATCGAGCAAAACTGATCGGCTGTTTCACAACCTCTTCTCTCTCATGCGGTTCTAGTTACCTAGATCCAGCTACGTTTCACCGTTGGTTACCCGCGTCGATTCCGCTCGAGGGAACCGCAGCTGATCACAGAGAACACCGAGGGTGTGACACTCGATACGTTACAGACGTTTTATCATGCTTCCGGTGGATCGACCTTTATTATTTTCTTGCCGGCTCGACCCACCCATAAACAGTATTACATGAACGGCTGGCGTGGTCATTACGACGCATTAGATCGTGAACGATACTGCAAATTTTCAATATCTGGCAATTTATTCGTAATAACAAAATCGACACAGATATGACGGGTGAGTCAGAGTCAGGAGCGGTTCCGGCATGTCATTCAATAGCGAGAAGGTTGAATGAACAGATCAGCTACGAAGTATAGCTATAATTTCTGTAATACGATCCTAAAGCATATAAGTTAACAAGCACAAACTGATAGCGCGTTTCATACGTCGACTACTTGTCATTGCTGCGACAGAACGATTTACGAATTAGAGCATTTCGTTCGCAACAACCAGACACCGGTGAGATTTAGTTAACAACTTAATAAATGATAGAAAGCTCGGATCGTAACAAGCTCTGTAACTCGAAATGAGATACGATGAGCGAGCTTGGGGTTTTCACCGTCAGCACCGACCCGCGAGATGGTTTGTACGATTTAATGCGGCCCGACGGACATGACACGTAACAACGGGTCGGGCAGCGACGAGAACAAGAAGAAGAAGATGAACGTCTTATGCAAGTAGGCACTACCGAGCGGGCTGGGCTCGCAAGGTGGACAGTAAGCCGTGGACGACGGTACTGGAACGCGCCGCGCCGCCGCCGGTACCCCGCGATCATCTCGTTGATGCGATCTGCCAACCCGGGCAGGACCAGCGAGAGACCCGGTGCAACCGCATCGCATCCTTCGCTACCTTTGATTATTCTTATTCTTTCTCACCTCATTCTCGTTCCTCCTCGTCGACCTCCTCTTACATTGCATTTTTTCTGTTTAACCATCGTTGCTGCTGTCACGGAACATTCTGCCCGATATTAACGTCCACTGACATGATCTCCCCCATCGCTGATTCACCCGTATTTTACCTTGCAACCGTTTTTGTCCGTGATTTCGCGATGAAATTAAATTACGTACAAAGACACCGATTTTATCTTGTCATGAATATTTTCGATGGCGTTGAGAAGCAAAAATCATTAAGTTTTGTGAACATAATTGTCACCCAGTATGACGTGTTTAAGAAATTGGTTGTAAAATATCATGAAGTAAAATAGGAATATCGTAACTGTTATTAGGGACACAGAACACGTGTACAGTGTAGTTACACCACGAACAAAGTCTAATGAACCCCAGATCCGCCCCCGACGTCCGTCTATGCACGGCCTTCATTGTTTGCCCTGGTAACGATCTACGGAAACCGAAACCTGGAATTAGTCGCCCACGTTCATTACCTCCTACCGGAATGCGGCTGGTGTAACCATTACTCGCCCATCCTTTAACCGCTCATCCTATTTAACTGCGACCTTCTTTGCAAGAAGGCAGATTCATGAAACGTTTATTCACAGCAGTGTTTTTCAACTCGGATGATTAGTTTGATTAACCAGCCAGTTTATTCGCTTCATCAAACGTTCGATTCCTGAAGCCCAATATAGATATACATATGTGCCGTTAATATGCGCTGTAACTAAACGATGATGGAAGATACGATAATAGAAGACTATGAAACTTTACACTCTGTGAAGCAATAAAACGATTGGTAACGGAACCGCTATTTGCAAGAACGATGAGATTCACATGAAGGAGGAGGAGGAGGAGGAGGAAGAGAAGTTGGTCCCTTCAATTTTGCTTAAACTGCCGCTTCCGTGGACGGAGGGAAACGAGTATCTCCGTGGTCAGACAAAAAACGTGGTTCTCGGATGAGCGAACGCGATAAGGGTTGGGTGTCCTCGTAGACGGGTATGAATTTCAGCTTTCCTCTTCTGGTGACTAACATAAATCAGCACCGTGCGGATCCTGCGGGGGCGTCCGACGTGTAAATGCTCGCGTTACGATCCGATAACGAGCGAAGGGAAGCACGTTCCTCGTCTAACTCCTTCGTTCTTCGCCTCGTCGAGGTTCCCTTCCCCTCCCGCTCCTCGTCGGACGTTCACGTTCCGATCTCTCCTTTCCTCGTCGCCGAATTCCCTCTTCTGGTCTTTCGTGGCGATCATTTGCATAATAGCCCCTTTTTGATCCCGGCACACTAACGAGCCTACATTCAGATCTCGTTCCTCTCATAAATGAACCTATACCAGTACACCGGTCCGAAGCATTCCTTGCCCCCTTTCACTCTTTGCCGACGTTTAAACAGGGTCACATACAAAAATGTTAATTTCTTCGCTGCACTACTGTGCATACAGTGAAAGATTGTTATCACCAGCTTACATACACTTGCGTGAATCTTCATTATACAAATATTCATTCATAAACACGTAATGAAATATACGAAAGTAGGAGGATTGATTTTCCTCAGAAATAATAACGCAATATAAAACAGTTCTCGTACAACAAGTATATACATGAAATCAACCTAAGTGATTTTAAGCTTCAGTGAAGTGAAAGAAAATTACAAGAAGGTTAGAAAATGATTTACGAACTTTAAACAGGATTGAGATCCCGACAGCCACGCCCGTGTATCCGCTACCGACGACGACGATTTTAACGCGATGCCCGTCCACGAAATCTTCCGGCTGTTTGGTAAGCAGGAACGTGGTGGTGTTCCACGCAGTATCGAGTAACTTCTTCTTGGGCACGGCCATCGTCAACGAATCCGATAATCGATGCTCGGGTGTAGCATCCCGAGGGTTTGAATGAAAGTGGATCAGAAAAGAAGCTGGGATTGCTTTAATAACACTGTTTAAATTTCGTCCATTCCAACCCAGCAAACAGCGAAAGTGACAATCTAACGTTACGGCTCTTTTTTCATATCTGAAGTTGTTCCATGACAATCGAAATAGAATCAGTAGTTCAAACGTAGTATATTTTATATATAAGAAGACCTTGAAGATTTAAGGAACGTATACCTTGTGTACTGCCACTGTTGAAGGGATCCACGTGGATCTAGTCCACCGCTATGTATAACAATAATAATAATAATAATAATAGCAATAATAAATATATTCTATTAAAGGATTTACACATTTTTCATACTAATAAAAATGTATCAAGTGTGACAATATTAATCAAGAATCGTCACAAGATAAATAATTAAAAAAAGAATAAAAGCTTATATAGAAAATTATTTACTTTAATTGGTTATGACATTACAATTTTTCATAAAAGAAAAAAATTAGTTATTGATGTTATTATATTTCTTGGCCATCGTAATTGGTGAAAGGGCAGCTGTCGAATTGGCACAGAAGGGGTGCGTTACCATCGAACACGTGCGAATTTCAATTTCCGTTTTGCCAGTCACAAGAGGCAGACATTTGAGATCCAGTTGCTCGTAGCACCATACGAATATTAAATTCCTAATTGAACATCAGCCTTCGTGTTAGATCCCTTCCGTTTTAAGCATGTTATTACTACATATGATTGAATAGTTTCGAAACCTGCTTTTATCCCTACGATTGCTTAGATACAATCTAACGGAATATACGAAATACTGGTGGGTATAATTTTGTCCAATTTTACAACGAATTGGTATCCATGGTATTTTTGCATTGATTTTGAAATATTAGTTTCGGAAGTAAAATTACAAGCTTTTCTGATCTATGATGAATATTACAAATATTAATTTATTAAATGGAATTACGCTGGTCGTCGATTTTTGCATTATAAATGGTACTCAATATTTCTTTAAACGATGTTCTCAAGCTGCTGTTTACATAATCCATCAACAGATGATTCATTCACGACCATTGCAAAGAGTTGATAACATGATAGAAAGTACACTAACATTGGTTTACGACAAACGGACGCGGTAGTTTTCTAGGAAGTCGATTCTTGTACTGTCATTTATTACACTGATCAGGTACACGTATAGAGAACCGGTCGGCAGGTGCGCCCGCTCGTTATTGATGAAGACGCCTGATTCTAAAACGTTGCTTCCTCGCGGTCTCGCGCTGTTTCCGGTAGCACTCTCCTCCACCCATGACGCTTCTCACTGCTCAGTGTCGTTGTTGGTCTCCTGTAGGATGCCGCACTCTCTCAGTATGGTTCGGATCTTGTCCGCGCAAGTCTGCACCGCGGCTTTCTCATGTTCGCTCAGTTTCTGTCGCACGGTGCAGTATACGCCCTCGCGGCCGATCACGCACGGCACCGACATGTACACGTCCTTGTCCGTGCCGTGAGTGTTATTGATGTTATTATATTTCTTGGCCATCGTAATTGGTGAAAGGGCAGCTGTCGAATTGGCACAGAAGGGGTGCGTTACCATCGAACACGTGCGAATTTCAATTTCCGTTTTGCCAGTCACAAGAGGCAGACATTTGAGATCCAGTTGCTCGTAGCACCATACGAATATTAAATTCCTAATTGAACATCAGCCTTCGTGTTAGATCCCTTCCGTTTTAAGCATGTTATTACTACATATGATTGAATAGTTTCGAAACCTGCTTTTATCCCTACGATTGCTTAGATACAATCTAACGGAATATACGAAATACTGGTGGGTATAATTTTGTCCAATTTTACAACGAATTGGTATCCATGGTATTTTTGCATTGATTTTGAAATATTAGTTTCGGAAGTAAAATTACAAGCTTTTCTGATCGATGATGAATATTACAAATATTAATTTATTAAATGGAATTACGCTGGTCGTCGATTTTTGCATTATAAATGGTACTCAATATTTCTTTAAACGATGTTCTCAAGCTGCTGTTTACATAATCCATCAACAGATGATTCATTCACGACCATTGCAAAGAGTTGATAACATGATAGAAAGTACACTAACATTGGTTTACGACAAACGGACGCGGTAGTTTTCTAGGAAGTCGATTCTTGTACTGTCATTTATTACACTGATCAGGTACACGTATAGAGAACCGGTCGGCAGGTGCGCCCGCTCGTTATTGATGAAGACGCCTGATTCTAAAACGTTGCTTCCTCGCGGTCTCGCGCTGTTTCCGGTAGCACTCTCCTCCACCCATGACGCTTCTCACTGCTCAGTGTCGTTGTTGGTCTCCTGTAGGATGCCGCACTCTCTCAGTATGGTTCGGATCTTGTCCGCGCAAGTCTGCACCGCGGCTTTCTCATGTTCGCTCAGTTTCTGTCGCACGGTGCAGTATACGCCCTCGCGGCCGATCACGCACGGCACCGACATGTACACGTCCTTGTCCGTGCCGTGAGAGCAACTCTGTGAACACACCGTTTTTATTTTGAAAATTATATCCATTTACATGTGTTTAATATAACTCGTAAATAATTGTATGTTTAAAATTAATTAAACAATAACAGTTTTTCATCGTTCACTAATATTCTTCTGTGTATCATGGCATCTATAGAGGATTGAAGAGCCTACTAAATACTGACTTACTATTAGTAGAAAGTGAGAGTACGTACAAGGATATGCGTGGATGCCGGAAGCACGACTTTCGTGTTCCTAACAATAGCATCAACGATTTCAGCTGTGGAGATTGCAATACCCCAACAACACGACCCCTTCTTCTCCTCCAATTCTTTACCACTGGAAATGTGCATGCATAAAATAAGCTTAAACGATCCCGGTTATCTTTAATCTTCTGTGTAACGATTACTTACACGTTCTTTACGCTATCAGCGATTTCGACCCACTTCTCTGGATCGTCTTGTTCGCCGATTCTGGGATTTATGTCTCGGAGCTTCATTCCCCCTACGTGGATACTTGACCATATAGGAACTACGCGAAATTATTTAATCTTATTAAGTCGTTTCATGTATGAATCATTTTTTATTATTAGAATATTTCAAGTATCTGAAAAACTATCTACAATATCAGAAACGAATCCCGTCTTTACATAAGAAACCATTAATTACAGAAATAGCATAATTAGTATAAATTGAAATATTAGTTTCGGATATTAGAATAAATTCAAAAATTTAAATAATTTTCAAGTGGAGCTTTCTTAAATGAACGAAATTCTATTATAATTCGTTATTAAATACCAGCCATATCTCCCTGCGCTCCAACAGCCATGACACTAATAGAGCTTCGTGCCACGTTCAGTCTCTTGCTCATGTAATCCTGGAATCTGACGCAGTCGATCAGGGTACCAACTCCGAGAACGCGGTTCGAGGGAAATCCGGACAATTTCCAAGCAATATAAGACATCACGTCTGGTGGCTGAGTCACAATCAACAGAACGGATTTGCAAGCGAATCTGGCTATGGCTGGTATGATCTTTTTGAACACCTTCAAGTTGTGCTTCACGTTCGGATCTTCACCGTTCGTCGTTTCGCGAGTGCAAATTATCACCACTGCAGATTCCTTAACCATGCTGAAGTCTTGCAATATAGAATAAAATTAGGATGGTGAATGATAAGGATCATATGAAAATTAATACATCTGTAAAGTATTTGTACGTATTTAGTTTGATCATTGCATATATTGTGCTATTGAGATATCGGATAAAATAAGAGGCATATTATACTGCTTTTTATTTTAACCAGAATACAATGGATCGTGGAATTCTGGCGAAAGCGCAAGTTCCGGCGCAAAGAAATCTCATAAATTTGGTTAACGCGCGTTCGTCGAATGCTTATGCGAAACACGTGCTATCCTAACTGGTACCAGAACGCCTCGGAGACGATCGTTAGGAGCCGGGCATCCCTTTCTTCCCGTTAGCCTTTCCCTGGAAACACCTCGTTCTCGATAATAAAGCCATCGGAAGCCGGTGGAATACAAAACACTGAAAAGGGATCGGAACTGTCGCTCCTTTCTCCAACGAGATTCCCCCTTTTTCCTCGTAAAGATGCTCCCTGATAAACGCGGCGAGTACAACGGTGGAACGTGCCGCGGTGAAAATAAGAAGCACAGATTTTTGGTAACACCTTCACGGAGCTCCGTGCGAGCTGTACAGCAGAATGCGAGGAGAGGACTCGCGCTGCTGCGGAGAGATGATGCTCGAGATAAATTAGCCGGTAAAAACCCGGGACTGTTCTACTTCTTGTTCTGGTAATTGCTACCTCGGACGCGGCCGAGATTAAAGGGGAGTCCGCGCGTACCTACGAGTGCGGGCAAGAGTCGCAGCCGGGATTATTTTAAGTACTCTCTGTATCACCGTGTTCTGATTACGTCACGGCCGCACGACGAAAAACAGCGTTGCATAATTGTACCTCGGCTCGATTGGAAAGTTCGGTTTAACCATGTTCGTCTGTTCGCTTGTACGTTTATACTTTTTATTCGTACAATCAGTGACTTCATCACAATTTTATATGCCAGATTTTGATTTTCATTAAGAGATATCATAATTATTTGTTTCTTCTTTCAATGCCATATCAATTTGATATCCAAAAAAGAAACTGAATGGAGAGGATAATAAAAGATAATCGACAGAAGTCTGGTTTATACTAATTGGATTTATTAAATCAGACTTTGATGCAATAAAATCTGCAGTGCTACAGTGAATTATGTTAATTCGTGTGCATAAGGAATGTTTCGCCACGTAGGGATTAAAATTCGAAAAAGTATGCAACTTAAGATAATATAAAATAAAACACTGCTGGAGGCATCTGAGAGTCGTGGCGCACGAAGTCGCGTCTGAAACCGGTAAATCGGCTGTGGTCTCGAGAACTCGAGGCGGTTTGGCGCGGCGTTTTCACCGGGACACCGCGAAACAGGCAAGGCAACAGAGCTTTTGTTCCCGAATTCCCGAGCAAGGTGGTATATTTTTTTACAACCAAGCACACGGTCCACCGGCAGCGGCCGTGCACGACTGACAGAAAGGGACGCGACCGGACAAGGAGAGGAGAGACCGGGGAACAGAAAAAAATGTATCGCGAAGTCGATCACTGCCGAGATAAATAAGAGTGGCACGAAATTTACGAGCTGGACGGTGAAAAGCTCGGGGAAACGCTCGGGCCACGGCGACCAGGCCGCGTGTAAGCACGAAAGCGACGATGTAGATGAGCGCCGAGATTAAACGACAGGACCGGAGAGAAGGATCCGGATCTCGGAACTCTGTACGCGGCCTCCCGAAAACTCATTCCTACCTCCCCACCTTTCGGTAAGGGGGCCGTTGTTTCTGACCCGCTACACGTTGACAGAAGATCCCCTGACGAGCGAACGCATCCTTTAAAACGGTGTCTCTCGATCCCCCGAACGATCGCACCTGATGATGCATCGACGCTCAAGTTCTCAGAGTTAATTTGAGAATTTATCAAATGACTCAACCACTGAAACGTGGATGGAATCAATGTAGCTCGTTTCGCAGCAAGTAGACCGTCATAATGGAAATACCTGAAGTATTAATCATCCTCTATACTGTTCGTATTTGGATTAGACTTGTGCTAAACATTGCTGATTACGTTATCAGTATTTTGCTAATCTGTTTCTAATAATTTCTACAAATTTCGTGCAACACTCTGAATTATACTAATATTTATGACTACCTAAGCGTACCTAAAAATTGGCTACACAGATTGAGATACGCGTAGAAGTTTCTCAAGTACCTGACGTGCCAGTCACCAGCGGACATCCTAAAAAGACGCCGACGTGCTGGATATCCTCAGCTTCGGCGGAAGCCTTGTTCGCATCGTGGTCGATCAGGCATACCTCGCTTGCCATCCTCTAAAGATCAAGTGGAATCAAACGGTTGATCGATCGTTGCGATCCGCGTGGCTCGGTGTCCGCGGTTGCTGATCTATACTAACTCTCATGAGGATAGCGAGGGCGCAGGCGATCCCAACCTTCCCTACGCCAACGATCGACACCTTGACGCGATGTGGATAGACGTCGCACGGACCTAGCTGCGTCGTTATCAACGCGTTCTTCGTGGTGGTCGTAATCGGAGCTTCCTCCTGCAAACGCGTATCTAGCATCAAGTAACCCCGCTCGCTTCGCGAAACACGATTGCCCGGTCCCGTAACCGACCAGACAGGTGAACGGGTACGCTTGGATTATTTTCGCTTTTTAACAGAACTGATGTTCCATCGCAACACAGTACTTTAACTCAGAAACATGTATTTAAAAAGATGTGTACTACATCTGCCTTACAGAATCGATGAAGTGCATTAAAATGTCGGATACGATTTTTTTCAAACAGCTGGAGAATGATTTTAAAATTTTTCTGCATACTACGTACTTTCAACTGTCTATAATAATTAAATGCCTAATTCTTTTTCATAATTATTTCATTGAGAGAGATACTTGGAGCTCGAATGACTCACTAAAGCACGTGCTATTATTCCGTCGTGCCCGTTCAATTAGCAACCCCCGCGGTGATAAGAAAAAAAAAAGGTAGAAACAGGAATACGTTCGGACACCTACATCGTCGCAGGCGTCCCTGTCCGGCCACTCGGACTCGCTCTTGGCAGCATCTCCGTCATCCATATTTCAAACCCTGGAATCACGAGCACTTAATTCGCAGACTTCATTGGCGTGATTCGATGCTCGAATTTAAGCCCGACGCTTACCGGTTAGTCCGTTAATTGGGTGCAAGTAGAGATGTTCCGCGCGGCTCCGCGTTGCCAGCTAACCCGTTTGCGTTATCGTTAGTCGCTCCGGCGTCGAGGTGGTCGCTGTTCCTTAGCCTCTGTAACAGGTAGAGTAAGATCTTACTGTTTGTCTCATAGAAGTGGACTGAGAATTTCCTTTATAAAGTTACTGCATTAAAGGGCAACAAATTTTATAGTATGATCTGAAAACAAGTGTGCAACGAAAAAAACAATGAGTGATACCACAGTATAAAAAAGAACAGTAGGCTTACTCATTGTGTCGGCTCCTATGATCGCATGATCAACAGATTCGTCATGTTAGTTGTGCCACTATCCTATACATTATTACAATTCGTGGGTTAAACGGACTCAATTGTTATTGATATCTATATAGTTGTGGTTGCCAAATACAAGAAAAGTCGTGAATAAAAAAATGAAAATTACATGAAAAATCACGAAATAATTAATTGATTACTTCTGAAGTATTCAAGTCGGAAAAAGATTGTATACGACCTCTTTTGCAGGTAATAGTAGCACCTACAATTTTTACTTGAAGCATTTCTCGAAATTTTGAAAAAAAGAAATTTTATTTTTTTTGAGATTTTGTCAGGGGGTCATTTCTAATTTACAAACTATCTCGTATTTTAATGAGAATCAGATTTGAGTAAATGACCTAAAATTTATGATTACCGAAAATATTTGAGAAATAGTACGTGGTGCAGGAAAGTATTTCGAGAACATAAAAATATTGAAAAGTTATCATAATAATCTCTCTGCTTTAAGTATATGAATCACTAAGCTAGAAAGTATTTTTCGAAATTCCTTTGAAGCTAATCGAGCCCGCTACGAGGAACACCGAGAACAGAATGAAAAGGTAATGGAAATTCTGGCCCAGGAGAATAACGACAGAAGTTATCCTCGTGGTTCACTGTAAATTAGCCGCAGGTAGTCGCCCCGGGAGCGCAGGTACATCGCGACGGATTGTTCATATATTTCTGCTGGTATACCCACGCGCCCATCATGCCGCGCCGTATGGTGTAAAATACATTATTTTCATGCGTCGATCGCGGTATCTCCGTACGCTCCAACTCACAAGTCAATAATTATTAAAAAGTACAGGTCATGAAATAGGACGTGGTAACAGAATCCTGAAACTTTTAACTTACAAGCATTTCATTTATTAACATGGCACGTTTTATCGGAATTCTGTGGTATGAATATAATTACAACGTGTTCTTGTAACTTTTATATACATTTTATATTTTTATTTCAAATCTGTTAGTAAATTAATCACAATTATCGATTCTCATGCATTGATTTTATTTCACAAATTAGTTTAAAGAATGATTATCCTATATGTTCTTTTCTGTCTCATATGAATATTAAACTGAAATCTTAAAAAAATTGAATCATAAATTTGAAATCGTAGAATTGCAGTAAATACGATTTAGCATGCGCTAGATTAGTATTATTATGGTTTCTTCTATGGATACGCATTCCTATCGGCTTCAAATAAAAGGCACCTGACGTTCATTAGACAGTTCTCGCGTAAGCGTACATTTTACACCAGCGAACGATTTGCGTGGACCGGATTCGCTGGCGAACAAAGGAGAAACCGAACTCTCGACGCGAGGCTTTCTCATTTACCTTGGACCCCTTCGATAAATTACGCTCCTGTTTGCTCGGAGCAGCGGTGAGGCTGAGGCGTTCCCAGTAGTTGCGGAACGTCGTGGGACTTTAACGCAGGAGTCGGTTGTTATCGGAATAAATTATTATTCCTATAAAACTTTTGTTTTGTTTGTTATTTACTACGTTACTTTATCTGAAATCAAATTATTTTTTGATAAATATAAATGTTCTTAAACTGGAATATTTGCCACTATCTATTTAGGGAAGTCTAAAATGTTTTTTATAGATATCCTGTTCTGAAATTAATAGATAACGTCTCGAAATTAATTCGTATAAAATTCTATGTATCAAGTAAATTTATTTCTCGTAACTTCATGCAAATCAAGTATTTATCTTTTTATTTGTTATTTTCGTTTCAGATCGGAATCATTCAAGCCTGCCCGTGCGCGTTGGCGGACGTTTCTTCCTGGCAGAAGGCAGATGAAACAAAGAAGAAGAGAAACAAGAAGAGTGGGAGCTGAGGTAAGTCCCTTTCGTATGTGGTCCTCGTGCAAGGACCGGGGTGCGGTTGCACCCTCGGACACATTCAATTTTAACGTTAATAATCGCCGGGAAAAATGACGGGCTTAAATGCGGCCATTCATCAACGGCCGATCGATATTGCGAATGCGGCTTAACGACGGAGAGATAGCATCGGCCGTCCCCGGCACCGAGTTATTGAATCGCATCAAATAATATACGAGCCAATAATGTACGAATAGTCCAGCAATTATGGCACGGTGATCGTATCTAACGTCGCGTTGTTATTTAGTAATCGTTCGTTCACGCTGCCAAAGATTCGGACATCGGGGAATTTCGGTCTGCGAGGGGAAACGATTCTTTTAATTAACAGACACAACAGTGCGATTGAGTGTAGCACGTGGGAAAACCGTCGCGATAAAATTGACGTGAAGACGATTTCTGTCAGAGATTAGTTTAATAATATATCATGTAACAGATTTACCCAATCGAGTCTCGCTCGTATGATTTATTATCTCGTTCGCCACTTCATCATTGATAAGTTTACAAGAGTCGATTACACTGCAAGAAAACGCTGATAGTTTTTTCGTAAAGATAATTCGTTCTGTTGATTTGTTTTTGAAATACCGAGTATCATTCACAATGCTAGTTGAAATCCATATCTATTAATTGAACGATAAATTAAAAACAACCAGACTGAAAGCAATTTAAACTCTGATGGTTATAGTTGCGAGTATAGTATGCGGAGTACACTACTAGCGTCGTTCTTCTAGGTAATTAATTTTCCGGCTTAATTAATCATCGGTGTGATTTTATCGTGCCGGGTTGGGTCAAGTAACAATGACGATCACGTAAAGACCGGGTTCTTATCGGTTGGCGTGCGCTCGTTGCGCCGGTTGATTTAGTACCGGGAATCTATCTGTACCAATTAACGAAACAAGCCACGGACGATGGTTAACTTGCAGCCCGCGCTCGACAATCCGGCAACCAGAAACTAAAGTCTACATTTATTGTCTCGGGGCTGTCTGAAAAAAAAGTAATAGAGGAATGGGAAAGGCTCGGGGGTAACAATAACAGGCCAGCGCCGCGGGCGCTTATGATTAATTGGCATGAAACCAGCGGACGCTTTTTTAATTAACCGGCAGTCTCGGAACGTGACAGCGAGAGAAAGACAGGAAGAGGGACAGGGAAAGAGAGAGAGGTTGAATCATCCGCGATAAAAGCGCGATCGGTCGATAACGATGTCTCTCCCCCGGAGAGGCTGCAGACTGTGGAGCGCGGGGCGAGATTCAGCTGAGCGAACAGTACAAACGAGTCGCCTCGTCCGAGAGATAGTCCTTGAAGGTTGGTCGTAAGCAACCGGTCTTCTGGTACCCGGGGCCCAGTCAACCGATCCAGACACCGGCTCGCGCATGCCTCCGGTGCACAATGCTTGGTAGTACATGCAGGCTGCAGATTCTAAGCTCGTTCGCAGACTTTTCTGCCAGGCGATGCTCGGACTTCCTGCGTGACTTCTCAGGTCCGAAACTCGTTCGCCACTTTTTTCGCGTCAAGCGATCCTCTGTCTTCCACCGTGATCCGATTTTAAACTGTTTCACGAATTTATTTCAATTGTTAATTAAATGAAATTCTAAATAACTTCTTAAGTAGTCAAATTTGAATTAAAAATAGAATGTTAATTGCTAATTGGTGAATTGAATGAAAGATTTAATCGATTATTTGCAACCGGCGATGATACAAGTATGTTCGCCGTGCAACCGGAATTTTAATTGGCTATTTGTTTGTCCGCTACACTTCGCGGCGCTACTATTGTCCGGCCTCTGCCCGGAGAAGAACGATCACCATCTCCTCTTCCCTACCATCGTGTTTGGGCTCTCTCATTCGTTCCTCGACAGTTTCGCTTTTCACTGTCGCCGTATTAATTCCATTGAAGAAAAATCATCTCCTCAGCTCACTGTCAATCTCTTTCCATATCTGCGTTTTGTTTCATCAAAATTCTCCATCCATTTGCTTCACTACTTGCTTCCCTTTTATTTCACGTTTAGCGAAGCACGACTTCGCAGAACCGCGTACACGCGAGTTGCCACTCTTCATCGTTCGAGACGATGCAACAAAGATTAAGATGAAATTGCAGTTATTACGCTGCGGTGCACCGGGCGTACTTGCATGCATAATCCCTGCGCGCGTCACAATACGTATCGTTTCGTACCACTTCACGAGTCATTAAGCGTTATGCGGTGTAATTGCGCGGTTTTTGCCGATACAGCCGCGTCGCGTCGCGTCGTCACGGCATCGTCGATGCCCGCGACGACGGGCATTAATCATCGATACGATCTTCTTTCGACGCCGCCATTGCAAATGTCTCAATTTACTCGAGCGACCGGCCGCGCCCGAGCTTCTCTCGTTGGCCCTCCACGGATTTATCTCCGTCGAATCTAATTTCGCCGCGCGGCCGCAGCGAAATACGAATTTAATTCACCCGACTACCCCCGTCCCGTGGTCGTTCCACGGCCGGTAACGCGGCCTAATAAATTAGCAAGCGACAGGCCCGCGATTCGCTTTAATCGCCGGCGCAAGAACCGACGCGGTCCGCTTGTCCGCGCGCGAGCTACCCTGGCCACTACTGCCCGAAGCGGGCAGAAGGAACGCCGTGCTTTTTTGCACGCTCCGCGGAACTTATTCCAATTAAAATCGTACCTCTATTTTAGGTCAGTCCCCGGGCCCGGCTCTTCGAATTAAACGGCCGTGCCCGGCTCTCAGCGAAAGTCGTAACCATCTCCTAAATAAGTAACGCGAAAACTTGTCGCTTGCGCAATGCGCTTACGTACCTCGCGACCCTCGCTCTTTTATTTCCGTCGTGTTTGTTTTATTTACTTCGAAATATTTCTCGGTTCGTTAAATTCATCTAAGAGATAACTTATGTGTATTTATAGTAACTGTTAAAAAATCTTTTTTCTTCTACAATAATAGAGTGGAATTAATTTTGGGGTTTCGTCTTTACTCGGAATTCAACTGAGGCGCGTGTGCGG